AGCAGGGTCTGGAGCGGACCTCAACAGTCATACAGCGAAGGGGCTAGACTGGTAGAAGAAAAACCAAGCAACAGAAATACTTCATCATCGACATTCTGGGTGTCCACTCAGAGACCCAAACGAAAAGTCAGCAACTACGCAGACGACCAGCGGACAAATCCACAAAGATGGGAAGAAACCAGTGAAAAAAGGAGGAAAACACCCGAAACCAGAACACATCGCCTCCTAGAAAGGACCAAAACTCCTCACCAGCAAGGGAACAAAGCTGGACGGAGAATGACTGTGACGAAATGACGGAATTAGACTTCAGAAGATGGATAATGAGAAACTTTGGTGAGCTAAAAGATCATGTATTAAATCAATGCAAAGAAACTAAGAACCTTGAAAAAAGATTTGAAAAAAGATTCGAGGAAATGATAACAAGAATGGATACCTTAGAGAGGAATATGAATGAATTAAAGGAGCTGAAAAACACAATACGAGAACTTCGCGAAGCAAACGCAAGTTTCAATAGCCGAATTGACCAAGCAGAAGAAAGAATATCTGAAGTCGAAGACCAACTCAATGAAATAAAACGAGAAACCAAGATCAGAGAAAAAAGCACAAAAAGGAATGAACAAAGTCTCCAAGAAATGTGGGACTATGTGAAAAGACCTAACCTACGTTTGATAGGTATACCAGAAGGGGACGAAGAGAATGAATCCCAGCTGGAAAATACTCTTCAGGACATCATCCAGGAAAATTTCCCCCACCTAGCAAGACAAGCCAACACTCAATTGCAGGAAATACAGAGAACACCACAAAGATATTCCGCAAGAAGAGCAACCCCAAGGCACATAATCGTCAGATTCAACAGGGTTGAAATAAAGGAGAGAATACTAAGGGCAGCCAGAGAGAAAGGTCGGGTCACCCACAAAGGGAAGCCCATCAGACTCACAGCAGATCTCTCGGCAGAAACACTACAAGCCAGAAGAGAGTGGGGGCCAATATTCAACATTCTTAAAGAAAAGAACTTTCAACCCAGAATTTCATATCCAGCCAAACTGAGATTCAGAAGTGAAGGAAGAATAAAATCCTTTGCGAACAAGCAAGTACTCAGAGATTTTGTCACCACCAGGCCTGCTTTACAAGAGCTCCTAAAAGAGGCACTACACATAGAAAGTATCAATCAGTACCAGCCATTCCAAAATCACACTGAATGCTAAAGAGCTTCAACATAATGAAGAATCTACAACAACTAACAGGCAAAACAGCCACTTAGCATCAAAATGGCAGTATCAAATTCACACATAACAATATTAACCCTAAATGTAAATGGACTAAATGCACCAATCAAAAGACACAGACTGGCAAATTGGATAAAAATCCAAAACCCATCAGTGTGCTGTATCCAGGAAACCCATCTCACATGCAAGGATACACAAAGGCTCAAAATAAAGGGATGGAGGAAGATTTACCAAGCTAATGGAAAGCAAAAAAAAGCAGGAGTTGCAATTCTCATCTCTGATAAAATAGACTTTAAAGCAACAAAGATCAAAAGAGACAAAGAAGGCCATTACATAATGGTAAAAGGATCGATACAACAAGAAGAGCTAACGATCCTAAACATATATGGACCCAACACAGGAGCACCCAGATACATAAGGCAAGTTCTTAATGACTTACAGAAGGACTTAGACTCCCACACAATAATAGTGGGAGACTTTAACACTCCACTGTCAATACTAGACAGATCAACCAGACAGAAAATCAACAAGGATACCCAGGTCTTGAACTCAGACCTGGAGCAAGCAAACCTGGTGGACATTTACAGAACTCTCCACCCCAAATCCACAGAATACACATTCTTCTCAGCACCACATCACACCTACTCTAAAATTGACCACATAATTGGAAGTAAAGCACTGCTCAACAAATGCAAAACAACTGAAATCATAACAAACAGCCTCTCAGACCATAGTGCAATCAAGTTAGAACTCAGAATTCAGAAACCGACCCAGAACCGCACAGCTTCATGGAAACTGAACAACTGGCTCTTGAATGTTGACTGGGTAAACAACGAAATGAAGGCAGAAATAAAGAAGTTCTTCGAAACCAATGAGAACGAAGACACAACGTGCCAGAACCTCTGGGACACATTTAAAGCAGTCTCTAGAGGAAAGTATATAGCAATAAGTGCCCATATGAGAAGAATGGAGAGATCCAAAATTGACACCCTATCGTCAAAATTGAAAGAGCTAGAGGAGCAAGATCAAAAAAACTCAAAACCCAGCAGAAGACAAGAAATTACTAAGATCAGAGCTGAGCTGAAGGAGATTGAGACACGAAAAACCCTTCAAAAAATCAATAAATCCAAGAGCTGGTTTTTTGAAAAGATCAACAAAATAGACAGACCACTAGCCGGATTGATTAAAAAGAAAAGAGAGAACAACCAAATAGATGCAATAAAAAATGATAAAGGGGAAATCACCACAGATTCCACAGAAATTCAAACCATCATCAGAGAATATTACAAACAACTCTATGCACATAAACTAGTAAACCTGGAAGAAATGGATAAATTCCTGGACTCCTGTGTCCTCCCAAGCCTAAACCAGGAGGAAGCTGAAACTATGAATAGACCAATAACAAGGTCTGAAGTTGAGGCAGCAATTAAGAGCCTACCTCACAAAAAAAGCCCAGGTCCAGACCGGTTCACAGCCGAATTCTACCAGACACACAAGGAGGAGCTGGTACCATTCCTTCTAAAACGATTTCAAACAATCCAAAAAGAGGGAATCCTTCCCAAATCATTTTATGAGACCAACATCATCCTGATACCAAAACCCGGCAGAGACCCAACGAGAAAAGAAAACTTCAGGCCAATATCCATGATGAACATAGATGCAAAAATCTTCAATAAAATATTGGCAAGCCAATTGCAACAGCAAATCAAAAAACTTATTCATCATGATCAAGTAGGATTCATCCCAGGGATGCAAGGCTGGTTCAACATACGCAAGTCTATCAACGTAATTCACCACATAAACAGAACCAAAAACAAAAACCACATGATTATCTCAATTGACGCAGAGAAGGCATTTGACAAAATTCAACAGCCCTTTATGCTAAAAACCCTCAATAAACTCGGTATTGATGGAACGTATCTCAAAGTAATAAAAGCTATTTATGACAAACCAACAGCCAATATCATACTGAATGGGCAAAAACTGGAAGCATTCCCTTTGAAATCTGGTACTAGACAAGGATGCCCTCTCTCACCACTCCTATTCAATATAGTACTGGAAGTTCTAGCCAGAGCAATCAGGCAAGAAAAAGAAATAAAGGGTATTCAAATAGGAAATGTGGAAGCCAAATTGTCTCTATTTGCAGACGACATGATAGTATACCTAGAAGACCCCATCGCCTCAGCCCAAAAACTCCTGAAACTGATAAACAACTTCAGCAAAGTCTCAGGATATAAAATCAATGTGCAAAAATCACAAGCATTCGTCTACACCAATAACAGACTTAAAGAAAGCCAAATCAAGAGCGAACTGCCATTCGCAATTGCTACAAAAAGAATAAAATACCTTGGAATACAACTCACAAGGAATGTGAGGGACCTCTTCAAGGAGAACTACAAACCACTGCTCAACGAAATCAGAGAGGACACAAACAGATGGAGAAACATTCCATGTTCATGGTTAGGAAGAATTAATATCGTGAAAATGGCTATACTGCCCAAAGTAATTTACAGAATCAACGCTATCCCCATCAAGCTACCATTGACTTTCTTCACAGAACTGGAAAAAACCACCATGAACTTCATATGGAACCAAAAGAGAGCCCGCATAACCAAGTCAATTCTAAGCAAAAAGAACACAGCGGGGGGCATCACACTACCGGATTTCAAACTATACTACAAGGCTACAGTAATCAAAACAGCATGGTACTGGTACCAAAACAGAGATATAGACCAATGGAACAAAACAGAGGCACCGGAGGCAACACAACATACATACAATTATACAATCTTTGATAAACCTGACAAAAACAAGCAATGGGGCAAGGATTCCATGTTTAACAAATGGTGTTGGGAAAACTGGCTAGCCATGTGCAGAAAGCAGAAACTGGACCCCTTCCTGACACCTTACACTAAAATTAACTCCAGATGGATTAAAGACTTAAACATAAGACCTGGCACCATAAAAACCCTAGAAGGAAATCTAGGCAAAACTATCCAGGACATAGGAGTAGGCAAGGACTTTATGAACAAAACACCAAGTGCATTGGCAACAAAAGCCAAAATAGACAAATGGGACCTAATGAAACTCCACAGCTTCTGCACGGCAAAAGAAACAGTCACTAGAGTGGATCGGCAACCAACAGAATGGGAAAAAATTTTCGCAGTCTACCCATCTGACAAAGGGCTGATATCCAGAATTTACAAACAACTCAAGCAGATTTACAGAAAAAAACAAACAAGCCCATTCAAAAGTGGGCAAAGGATATGAACAGATACTTTACGAAAGAAGACATATATGAGGCCAACAATCATATGAAAAAATGCTCATCGTCACTGGTCATCAGAGAGATGCAAATCAAAACCACATTGAGATACCATCTCACGCCAGTTAGAATGGCGATCATTAAAAAATCTGGAGACAACAGATGCTGGAGAGGATGTGGAGAAAAAGGAACACTTTTACACTGTTGGTGGGAGTGTAAATTAGTTCAACCATTGTGGAAAACAGTGTGGCGATTCCTCAAGGCCTTAGAAATAGAAATTCCATTTGACCCAGCAATCCCATTACTGGGTATATATCCAAAAGACTATAAATCGTTCTACTATAAGGACACATGTACACGAATGTTCATTGCAGCACTGTTTACAATAGCAAAGACCTGGAAGCAACCCAAATGCCCATTGATAATAGACTGGATTGGAAAAATGTGGCACATATACACCATGGAATATTATGCAGCAATCAGAAATGATGAGTTCGTGTCGTTTGTAGGGACATGGATGAATCTGGAAAACATCATCCTCAGCAAACTGACACAAGAACAGAAAATGAAACACTGCATATTCTCACTCATAGGTGGGTGATGAAAAATGAGAACACATGGACACAGAAAGGGGAGTACTAAACACTGGGGTCTATTGGGGGGAAAAGGGGAGGGCCAGTGGGAGGGGGAGGTGGGGAGGGATAGCCTGGGGAGAAATGCCAAATGTGGGTGAAGGGGAGAAGAAAAGCAAAGCACACTGCCATGTGTGTACCTACGCAACTGTCTTGCATGCTCTGCTCATGTACCCCAAAACCTATAATCCAATAAAAAATTAAAAAAAAAAAAAAATTTAAATGTCAGTGAACCAGCAGCTGCCCAGTCAGGGCAAAAATGATTACATGAGGAAAGTGATAGACATACAAAAAAGCCTGGAGGGGAAACTGGGTGAGTGAGATGGGGAATGTGGGTTTTGAAAAGCTTCCATATCCCTGGAAGTGTGTATATTTTCCTCCATGATCTCAGTATGTAGTACATGCTCACAAAGCGCCTGAGAATGCCCTATGTTCACACCTCTTTTTCAGCTAAAGATGTTTAAGAAAATATCTTTCAAATTATGAGTTGACCACTGAGCTAACAAAATAGAGATTTCAGTGATTACACAAAATACAGAATGCAGTTTATACAAAAATAGTTTACAAAATGTGATTTCAAAACTTACCACATGATAGTATTCAAAATGAAAATGAGGGATCTAATTAAACTAGAGAGTAAGATCCATTCTCAGAAAAAAGGAGAAATAGAAACTATTCCTGCAAAAGGCCATTGAACATACTTACTGGAAAAACACTTTAAATTAACAGTCTTAAATATGTTCATAGAACTAAAGGAAATCACGTGCAAAAAAGTTAAAGGAAATCAGAAGAACTATGTTAACTCAAATAGAGAACATTAATAAAAAGACAGAAAGTTTAAAAAGAGACCAAGTAGACATTTTGAAGCTGAAAAGTGGAATAACTAAAATGAAAAAGTCACTAGAGGAGTTCAAAAGCAACTTTCACTATGCAGAATGAAGAGTCAGCAAGCTTAAAGATAAGAAAATTGTAATCATTCAGTTTGAGGTGCAGAAAGAATGAAATGATGAAGAAAAATGAATAAAAGTTAAGAAATCTGTGAGACACCAAGCATATACACTTTGGGAGTTCTCAAAGAAAGCAGGCAGGGAGCAAAAGAATGGCTTTTTGAAGGAATAATAACTCCGAACCTCCCAAATTTGATGAAAAATATGAATCTATACATCCAACACACTCAATAAATTTTAAGCAGTGAAAATTTCTAAATATCCACACTGAGAGACATTATAATCGACCAGTCAAATACCAACAACAAACAGACTGTCTTGAAAGCAACAACAGAGAAGGAACTTTTCAGGTACGATGGATCCTCAATAAGATTAATATGCAAGTTTTTGTCAGAAACCATGGGATTCAGGAGGCACTGGGATGACAAATTAAAAGTTAAGAAAGTAAAAGAACCGACAGCCAAGAATTGTATGTCTGCAACACTCTCCTTCAGAAATAATGGAGAAATTAAGACATTCACAAGTTAAAAAAAGCTGAGAGAGATTGTCTCAACCCTACAATGTGTGTGTGTGTGTGTGTGTGTGTGTGTGTGTGTGTAATTCTTCACTTGTTTTTCCTATTTAAAAGAAAATGTCCATTGACTGATGATTGGAGAAACAACATTTAGTTTATTTCTACAATAAAATATTATTTGGCTATAAAGATAATAAAGCAGTGGTACACGACAGAACATTGCTGAATCTTGAAAACATGACAAGTGAAGGAAGCCAGTTACAGAAGGCTATATAATTTATTAACCCATTTTTTGTGAAATATTTAGAAGAAGCAAATCTATAGAGAAAGAGAGTGGATTTGTGGTGACAGGGTCTGGTGGCAGGTGGAACTGGAGGGTGACTTATTAATAGGTCCCCTGAGGTGACAAAAACATTCTGGAACTGGGGAGTGATGAGGGTTGTATAACATTGTGAACCTACTAATTGTCACTGCAATGTGCACTTAAAATGGTTACAGTGTTCATGTACACTTTTGTGTTCATGTACATTTTATCACAATAAAAAAGAGGCTGAGAAATAGATTCCAAAGTCTTTTGTATGGTAAACTCCTGAGTTTGCTTGAGAATCTGCCTGTCTTTTCTTCTCAGGACGCCATCTCCTACCCAGAGTTCACCCTTGTTCTTCTAAGTAGAAAGCCTTCTTTCAGATCATTGTCCAAGATCAGCCAGGCCCAACCCCAAAAGTGACTTCCTGTCTCGGATCCAAATGCTCAAATGCAGCCCCGGGGCTAATTTCAGTGGAAGTGAGAGATTATCCGATGAGGATAATTCATTTGGAGAGAAAATGTTTGGCCTTAAGAAAGTGCTTTGCTTTCCTAAAGTGGATCCTGCTTGCCAGTAAGTACAGAGTTTTTGTTTGTGTGGGGTGGAGTCCTCAGCAGAGTAATTAAATATATCTCTAGGAACACCACACAGCTCATGTGTAGCTGACTGATCCACCCATCTGCCACCCCAACTGAAGGAAGGAACTGTATTCTTACCTTGGCCCCTCCTTCAGCTGCAGTCCACTGGACATGGACCATTACAAGTGTGAAGCTTCCAGGGTTTTCAGTTGCTCTTCCTGCTGTTGTGGAGCCTCCACTGGTGTGACTCACACCCAGGTGAGCCTAGAGGAAGCTGATTGTCTCTTAATTCTCAAGGTCAACATTTTTAGTGAACCCAGACTAAACCCCTAGGTTCTCAGGGACTCAGACTTTCAAAATATTACTTATCAAAAGACAAAATGCTCTTGGTTCTTTCTTTCTTGATAGTCCTAATAAAGAACAGACAATAAAAAAATTAAATCTGTCATAGTATCAGTGATAATTGCCATTGAGGAAAATATGCCTAGGCTGGAAGATTGGTGGTGGAGGTGGAAATGGCAGGGGATAGATTTCAGAAAAGGTCATTGGACAAGACCTTTCCTAAAACTTGACTATGTGACATTTGAAAAGAGACATTAATGGTGTGAGGAGTGAGCCATGTGGATCCCTAGGGAGCAGGTGCATGTGGGAGTCGCAGCAGTGGCAGGTGGCAGAGACATGACAGAGCGGACAAGAGGTTGGTGTGAGTGGAATCGAGTGAGCTGGGCTGAGAGTGGTGAGATGATGCCAAAGTGGCCAGGGGGGCCCTGTGATAAGGAGCTCATAGGAAATGGTGGGAAACTGGGGTTTCATTGTGCCCAAGAAGGGAAGGGGCTGGAGTGCTCATAGGATATGCTCTAATTCTCATTTGAAAGGCACACTAGTCTGTTGTATCCGTGTTGGACATTGGGCATGAGAGGCACTAGGCAGCCTAGCTGAAAGGCCCTTTCAGTTTACTATCCTAGAGAGGATGGTTTTGGTGTGGAAGTGGCAGAGGAGTGAGAAGTGATTGGATTTAGTGTTGATATATATATTTTTTAATTGTGGCAAAACATACATACCACACAATTTACCTTCTAACAATCTTTTTCAGTGTACAATTCATTGGCATTAAGTACATTTACAATTTGTGGTGTTACAAAAACACCAATATGCATTTCCAGAACATTTTCATCATCCCAACAGAAACTGTACCCATTAAATGACAGCTTCCCATTGTTCCTACCCTCAGCCCCTGGTAACCTGTACTCTCCTTTCTGTTTCTATGGATTTGCTTTATTCTAGCTGCCTCAGACAAGTGAAAAATCATATTTGTCTTTTTCTGGCTTATTTGACTTACAGTGTTTTGAAGGTTCCATCCAATCCAAATATTATTTACTTTTAAGGCTGAATAATATTCCATGCTCATGTGCACCATGGGTTGTTTATCTATTCATCCTCTGACAGACACTTGTGTTGCATCCACCGTTTGGCTATTGGGAATAGTGCTGCTATGTGCATGAGTGCACAATTATGTGTGTACATACCTACTTTAAACATTTGAGGGTGTATGCCAAAAAGTGGAATTGTTGGGTCATATGGAAATTCTATTTTTACTTTCTTGAGGCAGCATCACACTGCTGCACCATTGCTCACTCTCACTAGCGATGCACAGTGTTCCATTTTCTCCACATCCTCTCCAGTACTTGGACTAGTGAAGCTGAGCATTTTGTTATGCCCCTCTTGGAGTTCCTTATTTTGTGTCCTTATTGTGTATCTTTTCCGGAGGTCTATTCATGCATTTTACCCATTTTTGAACGTGATTGCTTTGCTATTGTTAAGTTGTAGTTCTTTATTTAGTCTGGATATTAATTATTTATCAGATACACGATTGGCAAATATTTCCTCCTTTTCTGTGCATTTTCTTTTCACTCTTTTAATAGTGTCGTTTGATGCAAAAAAAGTTTTTACATTTTGATAGAGTCTAATTTGCTATTTTTTTAAATTGTTATGCTTTTGTTACCTGCCAAGAAACCACTAGCAATTCTAATGTTCGTAAGATTTTCCTCAGCATTTTCTTTTAAGAGTTTTACAGGTTTAACTCTTAAGGTTAGTTCTTTAAGCCATTCTGATGTAATTTTTGTATAGGGTGTAATAGAAGGGCAAGAATTTTTCTAGTATCATTTTTTTTGCATGTGGATATCCAGGTTTCCAGCACCATTTGTTAAAACACATGTTGGAGTGGGGCTGATCCATTTGTAAGATGCAGTGAGCACTAATATATGGGAGCACCATGGATTTATTTACCTGTCTTTCCTCTCGAGTTATTTTGAGAAGGTTTTCACTGACAACCCAGCAGAAATACATGTATATGACTTCCTATAAAATAAAATTCAAGTAAAATTATAAATATTAAAATGCTAAGACTGGAGCAGGATTAGAACATCACTAGAAAAGCCAAACATAGGCTGAAATGGAGGGTTTATGTTTACCTTGCTACACATTCTGTTGGCCCATCTTTACGCTTATTGCATAAGAGAGCCACAGGGTGGGTTGAGAGCTCACATAACCAGTCCCTGGTTTTCTGCTTCAGAAACAATTTCAAATTCTCTACTTAGAGTAAGAAAATTAACTGAAAGATGTTGAATGTGAAGTTGGCATCTACAAAGTCAGACAGTGAGTAATAAGTTTCAACATCAGGAATCCAAGGAGATTCTATCTTTTTACACAGAAATGCCCCACCCTGCACTGCTGAAGGGAGCAGATCCTTTCAGGGGAACTTCATCATGAAGAAAATCCCTATATGATGTAGAGGTTTTCTGCTTCAGCCCTAAATTGCACTGTCCTTCTTTCTAACTGAAGGTCTCACAAAGTTTTATAGCTTCAATGGTTTCACCTGGGCCCAATTTTTGTTTTTTTTTTTTTTTATGTTGTTTGTTAGAGCTCCTGGTTGGGGCTTAGAGAAGTGACTTGGATATTTTGCCAAAATGATATTTCTTTAATGGAATTTGAAATCCACGAACACTCTGCTTTCCTGCTGTATCCCAGAGAAGGGTGAATACCCCTTGCCCTTCTTTTCAGAACGTCACTAGGAGTGGTACAAGATTTGGAGCTAGGGCCTCCCTCGATCTCTACCCTTTCTTTAATTCAGAGGATCACAAGCTGTTGGGGAAAGAGTGGTGTCTTGTGCCCCTCTTGAACTGATTCATATTAATATTCAATTTCTTGTGAGGAAGTCACATGTGCATGTAACATCACTTCTGCGTGCAGTGTCATGGGAGAGTGGGTTCCTGGGCCCCAGGTTAAGAGCCTAAGCGCTACAGGCATAGAGCTAGAGCTCTGGGAGGGGAGGGATGGCTGGGATGAAACCTAGTCTTGTCCTTTAGTCCTGGGGCCTTTTCACTCCTCACATGGTGGGTTGTGGGCGTCTGGCAGGTGCTGATGTTGATGGAGTTGAGGGAGGAAACTGGCTGGGACTGGGAAAGCAGGATTGGAGAGATAATTAGGTCGGACATTATTTTTTCTGAGCATAATTCATGGCTTGAAATGTGGAGGGCCTGGAGGTATATCTCCCTACCCAAAGCGGTTTTTGCTTTTCCCTCAAGGCTCGTTTTCCACAGGTCTAGTGTCAACCCCAGGGGGCGCCCAAAGACCATGAAGGCACAGCACAGCTGGGATTTTCTGTGGTACTGGGTCCTTGACTTGACCAGGAAGCCAAGACTTTACAGCCAGGCCGCCTGGATTCAACTTGCAGCTCTGGTCCTACTGACACTTTTCCTCCTGGTGCCTCAGTTTTTAAATCTGTGAGATGGTGAGGACGTTACAGCACTTACTTCTGGCGCGGGTTTCTCAACAGCAGCACTGTTAACCATTAGGGACAGAGAGTCCCTTGTGGAGTGGGCTGTCCCGTGCATTTTGGGAAGTTTGCCAGCAGCACCCCACTCACCCCCTCCCACCAATTCCCATATGACAACTAATAATGTCCCAGGATTTTGAGGTCTCGCTTGTGTCTAGGAGCTGCCCTTGCTCAGGCATTTTCCCATCTGACACTTGAGCTTATCTCTGCTTTGGTCCACATAAGGCGACTTTAAACATAGTTGTTTATTTAAAGATTCTATCTGTCTTTTAAAGAAATGCATTTTCTTCCTTTATCTCACATTCAGTTAATCCTTCCACACTCTTTGTTTAGTATACCTTGGAATGTATCAATTCCAGTTCTAGTAACTAGCGTATCTGACTTGCATGATACTTGCTATGACCCCTAGTAGAGCTCTGATTTCTTTAGCCCAGGGAATGTGTTCTCAATTCTGCTCTGGATGATGAAAATCAATTTATTACACGTTATTTGTTGGAAATGTTGCTCCTCATCTGTAAAATGTACATGTGGACATGGCTTGAATGACTAAGTGGTTTTATTTCTTCATTCCCCTGATAATTGTTGTGCACCTGCTGCAAGTCAAACACATGGCATGACATTGCTTCCTTGATCACACCAGATCAAATGAGAAAATGAGACGTTATAGCCAGGTGTATTGGCACATGCCTGTAGTCCTAGCTATTTGTAAGGCTGAGGCAGGAGAATTGCTTCAGCCCAGAATTTTGAGGTTACATTGAGGTATTTCAGTCTAGGCAATTGACCCTGTTTCTTAAAAAAAGTCAAAAGACATGGTGAGCTGTCTACATGTACTCTATGTCTCAGGAGATTCACATCCTGTAATTTTTCCAAATGGCATCTCTGTGTGCTTTTCATGAATGTTTGTCTGGTATTTCTTTTCTACCCTTTTCTTTCAACTTTTTTGTACCTTCTACTGAAATTATGGCTTTTGTAAACAGCCTACAGATATTTATATATTTACTTACTTTACCGCTCTGCACTATTTGTCTTGTCATTGGAGTGTGTGAGTTCTTTATGTTTCATGTCATTGTTGGCCTCATTGGGTTTAAGTCTGTACACTGTCATTTGCTGCCTTCTAATATTATCTCTTTTTTGTTCAACAATTTTTCTTCTATTGCTGTCTTTAGAGGAATAAAAAACTTTGCATTATTGTAGTGTTCTGAATAAGTGTTCTAGTTACAAATTCTTTTATTATTACTTTAATTATCTGAGACAGCACAATAACCCGTCACTTATTATAACCAACAGCAGACCATAACTTCCCTGACTTCCACCTACCTGTGCAGACAGCCCAGGGGAGAATCAGTGCCCTGGCTCTGAGACACAGCAGGGTGGAAGCAGGAGAGTAACTGGATGATGAAGCTGTAGCTGCAGAGGCATCCAAGCCCCTCACCTGCACTCCTCGTACATGTCTCCTCCACTGAATGCCTGCGATGGCCTCTCCTCTGTATGCTCCTGCCAGAGTCTCCCCATCTCCACTGACAGCAGCTCCTCTCTTCTACTCACTCAGTCCAACACTGTGGGTGTCCTTGATTCTCTTTCTCACACCACAGATGCAATCCATTAGCAAGTGCTGTGAAGTCCATCTTCAAATGCATCCAGAATCCCATCACTTCCCACCATTTCCCCTGCTCACACCCCAGTCAAGGTAACCAGCATCTCCATCCTGGAATACTGTGCTCCTTCCCCACTGATTCCCTATTGCCTTACTTGTGCCCCACCTCTCAATTCTGTTCTCAGCAAAGCAGCCAGAGAGAAGCTTTCAACGGATAAGTCCCACCCTGTCCCACTTTACAAAACTGTCCTCTAACTCCCCATGTGATTTAAAGCAAAGATCAAAAAGCCTACATGCTCTGGCCACACCTCAGACCTCATTTCAGTTTCTCTCTGTCCAGCCCTTCTGGCCTCTTCCTCCTTCCAGAAACACAGACACTTTCCTGCCCTGGTGCATCTGCACTGAAGGTTCCTGCCTGAAAAGAGCTTTCCCATCATCCTTGTGGACAGCTTCTCACATCCCTCAAGGCTTCACTCCAAGGTCACATTTACAATGAGGCCCATGCTGACCACTCAGCACAACAGCCATCCCCCGTCCCCACAGCCCACACTCTGGATCACCTGCCCCACAGCACTTGCCACCTTCTAACTCAAACATTTTCTGCTCTTACTCTGCTTATACTGTATCTATCATCTGCCTACAGAGGTGTCTAATCTTTTGGTTTCCCTGGACCACATGGGAAGAAGAATTGCCTTGAACCACACATAAAATACACTAATGACAGCTGGTGAGCAGAAAATAATCAAAAAAAAGAAAATAAATACATGCATAATTTTTATGATATCTGCCACCACAGATAAGCAAAAACATCTTCATATTCAAAGCTGTCCTGGGCCACATACAACCTGTGAGCTGCAGGTTGGACAAGCTTGCATCTAGAACATATACACTGGAAGTCTGAAATTTTTCCTGTTTTAACTTTAATGATGTTTTCTAAATGCGAAAACAGTCATATGCCTAGCAGACAACAAATGTCAGTTGAATTAATGATCACTGTAGGGCACCTCCTTATTCTAAAGACAATATCTTTATTAATGCAGCCTCAGGCCAAATGCTGTTTTGTGGCAGCTACAGAGCAACATCATCTCACACTGACATCAGTGCTGCCAGAGCTTTTCTCACCAGGGCTGCATGTGTTTCCTCCCTCCCTCTCTCTTCCCACAAAACCCTCCTGCACACTGCAGCACACAACCATATTTTTCTCTTCAGGAAAGATAACCCTGGGCTTATGGCTCCAATTTTCCAACCACATACGAATGTAAGTCAGACTCTGTTTTATAAATCCATGAGTTTGGATTGGGGGCAGCACTAGGATCACTACAACTCAGGCAGGAAGAAGAGTAGGAGAGAGAGCAGAAGGAGTTCCAACAGAAAGTTACCTATGATGAAAATCCTTGGGACCCCTCTTCACTGCAAGTTTCCGAATCTGCTTTCTTTAAGAAGATTGGGGAAATTTGGAAAATACAATCTGGGAAAGAGACACAGAAGGAGGGCAAGAGGTACGGGGGTCTGAAAATTTGTCTCTTGATCCCACAATGGCTTCTATGTGTAGGAACCACACTAGGTGGCATCCAAGTCCCTGTGATCACAGGCTGTGGCGGGACAAGGTTCTATTGAAGGATCAAGGACAATGGAGCAGCAAAGATGACCCAGCCAAGCAGTGACCACATAAAGCCCACAGTGACCTGAGCATCCACTGGGCACAGCCCCATCTACTCCATCCCCTGCAACAAATCAGCACAAGAAACACGTGGACTGTGGAAGGTTCTCAGGTCTTCCATTTATTTTGTGTCTCAAATTTCAGGAATCTTCTCCTTTAATTAACCCATCAACCTCTCATGGAAATAATTTGAAAAAGTAAACTATACTTAGATTCTAATGTTAATAGGAAAGGAAGAAGTTACAGCTCAGTGCACTGTAAAGTTGAGACAGAGGTGGAGACATCCCAGCCCCGGGTCTCTGGAACAGGAAAGGTGACAGGGGAAGGAATGCAAGTCAGCATGGGGAAGGGGTCATGGTGGACACGGGGCTGGTCTGGTCTTCCCACCTCCTCACATTATGTCTATAAGGACACAGACACATTCAGATGCCTTTCAGAAAAAGAAGTCAGGGGTCTTGAAGTCACAAAGGGAAGGTGTGAACAAAACTTGCCTCTCAGTCCCACACAAGGCAGCTGTCTCACACTATAGAAAAATATTCATGAACAAATTCATATCAGTCACAGTGAGGAGTGACACTTTAAAGAGCCCATCACATGCTCAATGCATCCCTCTCAAACAAACCCCATAGCACAGCTGTGTACGCTGTTCTCCCCAACACCCACACACATCAGGGTCCTCAGGGTCTCACTTTTACAAGGTGATGTGAGAGACACATCAGAGCCCTGGGCACTGTCATTGCCTGGGATAGAACAAAAACAGGACCTGGTCAGAACTCACAGGAGATGCAGCTATAGGAGGAATTGTGGGCTAGGTGAGCTCCCCTACGGGCTCCTGACTACAATACCCCAGTGATCTCAGGATCAGCCTCCTTCATACTTACTTGCAGCCTGAGAGTAGCTCCTTCCTTTTCTATCTGTGGGAAGAAAATATCCTGTGAGAACCCAGAAAGGTGGCAGGCCATGAGGTCCTAGAGGAGCCTCCTACTCTTGGACCCCAGAGAAGTTTCCAGAAATGTGTGACTGCAGACCCAGGGCAGGATCAGGAAAAACAAGGAAAGCAGGTGTGGGTCCTGGACCAACTGCCCTCCTAAGGACTGTCCTCAGCAGTGACGTTCCCTTGTGACCTGTGACTGCTGGGATCAGGTCCCCATCACCACAGTCATCAAGGTGATACATCTGTCCTTCATTGTCGCAGGTGCTTTACACAAGAGTAAGTACTGGCACACAGGGCCCAGGCTGGGTCGGCTCATGAGTGTGGATGCTGCTTCCCAGTAACCAGGCAGGACACACTTCTACCTGGGGCTTGAAACTCTCAGTGGGACAAGAAATCTCAGACCCCACTCCTAACCCCTTCCTCACCTGAGCTCTTTTTCCTCCACATCACAGCAGCGACCACAGCTCCAAGGACAGCCAAGCCAGAAACGATGCCCACGATGGGGGTGGTGGGCTGGGAAGACAGCTCTGGGAAAGGAGGGAAAGGTGATGGTTCTTGACCCCCAGGCCCCAACCCTGACCCTGCTGAAAGGCTCCAGAGGCTCCTGCTTTCCCTAAGAGATATGACACCCCCATCTCCCTCCTTACTCCATCTCAGGGTGAGGGGTTCGGGCAGCCCCTCGGTTTGCACATGGCAGGTGTATCTCTGCTCTTCTCCAGAAGGCACCACCACAGTCACCCACTTCTGGAAGGTTCCGTCCCCTGTGGGCCTGGTCTCCACAAGCCCCGTGTCCTGGGTCTGGTCCTCTCCATTCTCACTGACAAGTCAGTGTGATCTCCATAGGTGGAAGCTCAGGGCCTAGCACCTCAGGGTGGCCTCATGGTCAGAGATGGGGTGGTGGGTCACGTGTGTCTTGGGGAGGTTTGAAGGGAAGAGTCAGAAAATTCAGGCACTTTGTATTCCTCATGGGACACTCCAGCAGTGCCTGTGTGACCATCCTGAGAATGAACAGGACACCTGGGGTGGGGAAGGGAGCACAGAACCCAGACACCAGCCTGGACACAGGCACCTGGGATAATCTCCTGTTCCTTGGAAAGTTCTAGTCTCTGAGTGGAGGAGGAGGGACTGCTGGTCCTGTCCTGAGTAGAAGCCATGGGACTCAGAGGAGCTGGAGTCAGACCCCCACACACATTGAGTGTGAAGCAGAGTACCAGGCAGGAGAGGAAATGGCTTAGTGCCCAAGGATGCTGTGGGGTCACAGGTAACCCCTGATCAGTATTCCAGGGATTTACTTCCCCTCCTTTCCCGCAGAGACTTATCCCTTATTGTATCAGAGAGCAGGGCGGTCCCTCAGAGTCATTCTCTGGCACAGAATCTGGAAACCCAGGAGGATTCCCGAGGACTAGAGGGAGGGCGATATTCGAGTGTTGGTCCCATTTTCCTCCCTACTTCTGCAAGGCCAGACTGGGAGGTCTACAGGCCATTAGGGAGGTTCCCGCTGGCCCCTGGTACCCGCGCTCTCCAGTGTCTCCTTCCCGTTCTCCTGGTGTCTGCGGATCCATTCCAGGCACCAGCCCTCCAGGTAGGCGCTCATCTTCTCCGCCACATTGTCCGCCTCCCACTTGCTCTGGGTGATATGAGCCGCCAGGTCCGCGGTGGTCCTGGAGCACAGGTCCTTGTTCAGGGGGAGGTAATCCTCGCCGTCATAGGCGTGCTGGTGATACCCGTGGAGAAGGCGCCCTTCGGGCCCCAGGTCTCAGCCAAACATCTTCTGGAGGGTGTGGGACCCTGGCCGCCCACCGAGCCCCGCCCCCGTCCAACCTTCGGGGATTTTGTTCTAAACTGAAAACGAGACCCCGTAAAGGCGCCCGGGGCTCTCCCGGGTCGAGGGTCTGGGCAGGTCCCGCAGTCTCGGGATGGATCTCGGACCCGGAGATTCGGGGTGACTCAGGCCCTCCGTCGGGGACGGGGAGGGGTCGTGACCTGCGCCCCGGACCGGCATCAGTCACCGGCTTTGCTATGGTTGTAGTAACCGCGCAGGTTCCGCAGGTTCACTCGGAAACTCTGTGCGGTGTTCTTGAAAATCCGTGTCCCCGGTCCCAATATTCCGGCCCCTCCTTCTCCATCCACGGCGCCCGCGGCTCCATCCTCGAACTTGCCGCGTCGCTGTCGAACCGTGCGATCTGCTTGTCGTCCACGTAGCGCACGGAGATGAAGCAGGGTTCCCCGCGGCCGGGCCGGGACAAGGCGGTGCCGAAATACCTCATGGACTGGGAGCCTGGGGGCGAGGAGGGGCTGAGACCCGCCCGACCTACCTCCGGGCGCGGCTACCCCAGTCCTGCGCCTCCGCGGGGCGGGCTTCTCGCTCCTCCCGCAGAGACCGTTTCTCTCCCAACCCCGCACTCACCTGCTCAGGTCTCAGTCAGGGCCAGGGCCCCCGAGAGCAGCAGGAGGAGGGTCCCAGCGCCATGGGTGGCTCGGGGAGCCAAGGGAGACTCGGGACTTTAGAACCGGGACAGCGGTGAGCTGACTGGCTTCAGGAACCCGACACCCAATGTGAGTGGGAACTGGGTTCACGTCGTGAGTATCCAGGAGGAAGGTCCCAACACAAGTGAGGAGGGGAAGAGAAACTGCGGAGATGTGGAATCCCCAACGCGGCTCCTCCCCAGTCAATACACTGCCTTCCGGGCCTGAGACCCTGAGAGCCAGGTCTGGGGCCCTGGGACTTCGCCCTGACCCGGCTCCTCCTGTGCAGAGCGCTCTCTCATTGTCTCCCTGAGTCGTGGCCCAGGAGCTGCTGAGAAACCAGAGAGAAACCCTCAGCATGGGCCCCGTCCCTCTCCCTCCACTTTTCATTCCGTAATCCCCGTCCCTGAACTGGTCTCCCTGCCTCCCACTCCTTACCTCCCACTCCTTACCTGTCCCCCTGGACGCTTCTAGAATAAAACTCACCCCATGGAGCTTGGTTCCAGAGAGTGAGCTCGCCCTGGGAACGGAGGTGTAGAAACAGGGTGTTTTTTTATTTTTATTTTTTAATACTGTAAAGTTGTGCCTGAGTGCATGAGATAGCATAGAGACCAGTTTGCTTTTTGTTTATTAACTACAGTGGGTAGCAGCATCCTGGTAACCCCTGAATGATCAGGAATCTAATCGGTAAAACACGTGACTTTGGCCCCTTCATATGCAAATGTGTCTAAAAGCATTACAACAGGAGTCACAAAGCTCCTGTTTCACTTTCCCAGACAATGTGTCTGTGACTCCAGCTTGTTGTATTTTAAATTTACCTTCATTCCATAGCCCTGAGCTACTGTGTGGGTCCAGGACACCTCCTCAGTTCAAAGTAGCTCACTGTGTTACCGAATGTTGCAACCAGGAGCCAGTACAGACTTCGTTCACCTCACAGTTTCAAGTGTTCAAGGCTATGTCACAAGCCCCCTCATCAGTGCTCATGCACTGCCTGTTTTTAGAAAGTTGCCACATTTAAGCGGTGTGTACATATTTTATAGGAACACTTAGTATTTATTGAAACCTGATTAACATAAAAAACAATTCGTTTTTGGGCAGACCTACAAAAGGTATTAAAGGCCAACTGCAAAGAACACCCCTGCAGGCTCTGTAGATGGATGTATTAAAAATCCATAAAACAATGTGTTTAAACCTAAGAATTCTGTTGCTTTCCATTTCCTTCTCTCTGCTCCTTTTCCTCACCTCCTGCTTCTCCAGCCCTTCCCTCCGTCCCTCCCATCCCTCAGGCCCTCCTCTCCCCTTCCCTACCACCCTGTCATTTCTGAATTGTGGCTCTAGCACAGTTTCATTATCTGCTACATGACTGTTCTCTCCACAATGGTCTTGCTATTGTGAATCAAAGTATGTCATTTCTCCACCTAAAACACTCCAGTGGCTCCACCTTGGTCTTGTGAAGCTTCCAGAATGTCAGGCATGTGAGCAAATGAGGACAGACCTGGTTCATTGTGGGCACTAAATTAATTTTTATTGACTGACTGAATGAAATATGAGTGTATTAAGTTGTATCACAGAAAATTATAAAATATAAAACTCTGAAAAAGTTAAGACAGATTTTATTTATGTAACTAGTGTGCGTATCAATTCATCAATTTATTCCATAAGTCTGTTGAGCCTGTGTATGAATTTTATAAGACTGTGTAATTATTGAAAATATTGGCTTTAAACAACACCCATTTATTGTATTCATTCATTTATTTTTAGAGACAAAGTCTCCCTCTGTCATCCAGGGTGAACTGCAGTCACATGATCACGGCTCACTGCAGCCTCAAACTCAAGGGATCCTCCTACCTCAGTCTTCAGAGTAGCTAGGACTGCAAGTACCACCATGCTCAACTAATTAAAGAAAAAAAAAACTGTAGAGATAACGGTCTCACTATATTATCCTGGTGGTCTCAAACTCCTGGCTACCAGTGATCCTCCTGTGTCAGCTCCTCAAATGTTACGACTACAGGTGTGTGCTACCACGCCTGGCCTAACAACACCCATTTATCTGTTTATAGTTCCTCAATCAGAAATCCTGGCCTGATGTGGATGGAATCTCTGTTCTGTGCTTCCCAAAGCTGTGTTTTCATTTTGAATCCTCCTTCAGGCTTATACAGCGGTGGCAGAATGCAGTCTCTGGCAGAAGTAAGACTGAGGTTCCTGTTCCTTGCTGGCTGTCAAGGTAGAGAACAGGGAGGGATGTGGTCAATTCCTTCTTGCCTACACAGCCCCTTCATTTTCAAAGCCCACAGTGGAGGAAACCCCTCATCCTGAATCCCTCTCACACCGTGAATCTCTACGCTCAGGAAGGACCCAGCCTTTCAAGGGCTCAGCTGATGAGGACAGTGCAAGCAGGATAAACCCAGCCTAAAGTCAACTAATTGAGGCCCTTAATTATATCTGCTGGAATCCCTTCACAGCAGGGCCTTCATTAGAGTTGGTTGAATAACTGGGGGAAGGTGAGTGACCAGCAGGTGGCTCTAGCACAGTCTCATTATCTGCTACATGACTCTTCTCTCCACAGTGGTCCTGCTGTTATGAATCAGAGTGTAATAAAATACATTCAATTAAACACAAAAGGAAGATCCAATCCGTGCTAGGCTTATTCTACGATACGCCCAACATACACATGTATGTATATTTATAATAGAATGATTTATATTCCATTGGGTATATACCCTGTAATAGTATGGCTGGGTCAAATGATATTTCTGGTTCTAAAATTTGAGGAATTGCCACACTGTCTTCCATAATCATGGAACAAATTTATGTTTCCACCAAGAACATAAAAGCATTCCTGTTTTTCTGCAACCTTGTTCTGACTCCTATGTTCTCAGTGGGAAGACTGGAATGTTTCCTTCCAACTTCATCAAGGAGTTTTTGGGGTAGTCAGATAAACTTGGCATTTCCCAGGATGAGCATCTGTCCAAGTCAAGTTTAAGGGAAACCACAGGCTCTGAGAGTGAGGGGGGTGACTCAAGCAGCACCAAGTCTGAAGGTGTCAATGGGACAGTGGCTACTGCAGCAATCCAGCCCAAAAACGTTAAAGGAGTGGGCTTTGGAGACATTTTCAAAGACAAGCCAATCAAACTAAGACCAAGATCAATTGAAGCAGAAAATGATTTTCTGAGGGTGGAAAAATCTCTTGGGAAGAAGTTACCGACAACTCCTGCAACTCCAGACTCCTCAAAAACAGAAATGGACAGCAGGACAAAGCGCAAGGATTTACTGCAAAGTGATATTTCCATATGAGGCACAGAATAATGATGAAATGACAATCAAAGAAGGAGATATAGTCACTCTCATCAGCAAGGACTGCATGAGGTAGGCTGGTGGGAAGGAGAGCTGAATGGAAGATGAGGCGTGTTCCCTGATAACTTAGTGAAGTTACTTCCCCCTGACTTTGAAAAGGAAGGGAATAGACCCAAGAAGCCACCGGCTCCATCTGCTCCTGTCATCAAACAAGGGACAGGTACCACTGAGAGAAAACATGAACTTAAAAAGATACCTCCTGAAAGACGATAAATGCTTCCCAACAGAACAGAAGAAAGAGACAGACCAGAGACAGACCCAAAACTGGATTTACAGAAGCCCTCTGTTCCTGTCATACAGCAAAAAAAAGCCTCAGCCACCTAAGACCAATTCTCTCAGCAGACCTGGTGCACTGCCCCCAAGAAGGCCAGAGCTACCAGTGGGTCCGCTGACACACACCAGGGGTGATTGTCCAAAGATTGACTTGGTGGGCAGTTCATTTTCTGGCATCTTGGACAAAGATCTCTTGGACTGCAGCAATGACACCGACCTAGAAGGTTTTGACTCTGTGGTATCATACTGAGAAACTCAGTCATCTGACCACAGACAGATCAAAAGCTACGGGGAGGCAGCCTCCATTGCAGTTCCTCACATCTTTATCCTTTTCAAGCCCTGATATCTTTGACTACCCGAGTCCTGAAGAGGATAAGGAGGAAAACATTCCCACTTGCGCACAGAGGAGTGGACGCACCAAAGAAAACTTCCAAGTCTGTTACCATATCCCAAGTGTCCGAAAACAAAGCACCCCTGCTGCCCAAGCTGAGGATGATGGCAGAAGCTGGTGGTGGGCCAGCCCCTCTGTCCTTGGCAGCACCCTCCCCACTGTCATCCTGTTTGGGAACAGCTGGACACAGAGCCAACTCCCCGTCTCTGTTCGGCATGGAAGGAAAACCAAAGATGGAGCCAGTGGCCAGCAGCCAGGTGACCACGGAGGAGCTAAGGACACAGGTCCACGAGGGGAAGAGCATCATTGAGAACATGAAGGACCAGCAGAAACAAGAGATTAAACAGTTATTGTCTGAGTTTGATGAAGAGAAGAAAATCCGGCTTCAGCTGCAGATGGAAGTAAATGACAAAAAGAAAGCTCTACAATCAAAATGAATACTTGATCAATGAAATGTCACATTTTCATCCTGAATCTGAGACTCAAATTTTTTGCCCCAGCCAAAATAATCTTGTGCCAAAAGATTAAAGGTTTGCCTCAACATGTCCTTGTTTGAAAGATTAGCACAAAAGTCTTGATAGAACAACACAGATTCCATCCAGGGGAAATTCCATCTTTCCCTGGGTTTAGTCCCGGGGCTGGCACTCTTTGTGACTTACACAGAGCAAAATTGTGCTAAAGGTTTTTCTATTCTGAGATCTCAATGTGAAATGAGAACTCAGGCAGTTTAGTCCATAGTGGTACTATTTTGATTATATTTCTCATTAATAAAATGTAATTTCAGATTTAAAAATTTTTTAAATAAAATTTATTTATTTTTAATTTTGCATACTTTAATTTCAGAACAAAATGAACAAACAAAATAAAAAAAACCACAATACACAACACCCAATCCTGCTGTCAGAGTAGGGAAAGTATGGGGGCTTGACACCCTTGTTTCCTGCCTTCAACAGGACAGGAGAGAAAAAAACACCAGACACCAGCAGGGGGAGCCAGGTGGGACAGAGGCACTCAAGGCTGCAGTGGGAGCCATGAGGACACTATACAAGGGCAGTTTTCCAACTATGAACTCTTAATCTACCCCTTCCATGCGAGACTCATCCTCATCACCCTCAAGATGGGGGATCTCATCCGGAACTACAGCACTGGGTTCCTCTGCTGCCACTTCATCTTCATCGGTACCTAGACCTAGCTTGATCATGCAGTAGATGTGGTTGGAGTGGGTCTGGGGATCCTCAAAAGAAAAGCAAGAAGAGAGCAGGGCGGTTTCAAACAGCAGCACCACAAGGTCCTTGACTGCCTTGTCATTCTTGTCTGCCTCAGCCTTCTGCCGCAGCGTCTCCACAATAGGGTGGTCAGGGTTGATCTCCAGGTGCCTTTTGGCCATCATGTAGCCCATGGTGGATCTGTCCTGAAGTCCCTGGGCTTTCATAATCTGTTCCATATTGGCTGTCCAGCCGTATGTGCTGGTCACAATGCAGCAGTTGTGAAGACACAAGCCTATTGGTGATTGTCACTTTCTCAACCTTCTTATCTAAGATTTCTTTCATGAGCTTGCAGAGGTTCTCAAACTTTGCCTTGCTCCCTTCCATTTTCTTCTTCTCTTCCTCATCCACCGGTAGCTCCAGATCCTCCTTGGTAACTGAGACCAGGCTCTTCCCATCAAACTCCTTTAGCTGCTGCACACAGTATTCATCGATGGGCTCAGTCATATATACCACCTCGAAGCCCCACTTCTGCACTCACTGCACAAAAGCTGAGTTGGCCACCTGCTCTTTGCTCTCACCAGTGATGTAATAGATGGACTTCCGTGTCTCTTTCTTGCGAGAAACATACTCTGACAGAGATGTCATCTCATCTCCAGGTGTGATAGTGCAGCAGCTGGTGTGATAGTGCAGCAGCTCAGAAAGGCGGCGTTGGTTAGTGGAATCCTCATGAATTCCAAGCTTGAGAGTTTTAGAGAATGCCTCATAGAATTTTTTGTAATTCTCCTTGTCTTCTGCCAGCTCAGAGAAGAGCTCAACGCACTTCTTAACAATGTTTTTGCGAATGACTTTCAAGATTTTGCTCTGCTGGAGCATTTCTCTGGAGATGTTCAGAGGCAAATTCTCAGAGTCAACCATACCACGATTAAAGTTGAGATACTCTGGTATCAGCTCATCACAGCTGTCCATGATAAATACATGGTGGGCATAGAGTTTGATGTTGTTCTTTTTCTTCTTGTTCTCAAAAAGTTCAAAGGAAGCCCAATGAGGAATGAATAGCAATGCCCTGAATTCCAACTGACCTTCTACAGAAAAGTGCTTGACTGCCAAGTGGTCTTCCCAGTCATTGGTGAGGCTTTTGTAGAATTCTCCATACTTTTCTTGAATGATGTCATCAGGGTTTCTGGTCCAAAGAGGCTCAGTCTTGTTTAGTTCTTCCTGATCAATGTATTTCTCTTTGATCTTCTTAGTTTTCTTCTTCTTATTCTTACTGCTATCATCCTCCTCATCTGAACCCATATCTTCAATCTTCGGCTTTTCTTCATCATCTTTATCTTCCTCTTCTTTCTCGCCTTTCTCTTCCTCTGCCTCATCATTACTAATTTCTTTCTCGCTCATTCCTTCTCCAAATAAAGGGTGAACTGAGAGTGCTTCTTCACCACTTCTTTGACCCGTTTTTCTTCTAAGTACTCTGTCTGATCTTTAAGGTAGAGGATCACTTTGGTACCCCTGCCAATGGGCTCACCATGGTCAGCACGCACAGTGAAGGAGCCTCCAGCAGAAGATTCTCAGGCATACTGTTCATCATCGTTGTGCTTTGTGGTCATGACCACTTTCTTTGCCACCAGGTAGGCAGAATAAAAGCCAACACCAAATTGCCCAATCATGGAGATGTCTGTACCAGCCTGAAGAGCCTCTATGAATGCTTTAGTACCAGACTTGGCAATGGTTCCCAAATTATTTATGAGATCTGCTTTGATCATGCCAATGCCTGTGTCTACCAAAGTCAAGGTATGTTTCTGAGGGTTGGGGATGATGTCAATTTTCAGCTCTTTACCACTGTCCAACTTGGAAGGGTCTGTTAGGCTCTCATAGCAAATCTTTTCCAAGGCATCAGAAGCATTAAGAGATCAACTCCCTAAGGAAAATCTCCTTGTTGGAATAGGAGGTATTGCTGCTGAGAGGCACGAGTTGGGCAATTTCTGCCTGAAAGGCAAAATTCATCACCTCCTCCTCTCCATGGTGCACTTCCTCAGGCATCTTGGAAAAAAAAGGCTCACAGGTATTAGAAAGCAAGGTGGGCTGGCTGTCTAACACACATGAGACACAAGAGCAGCGCCAGAGTGACTCGAGAGCAATAAAAATTTATTAATAAAAAATTATTTAGAAGTCAAGAAAAAACAGATAAAACAGGTATATCTGTTTTTTCTTGACTTTTTAATAATTGCCATTCTGACTGGCATGAGATGGCATCTCATTGTGGTTTTGATTTGCATTTTTTCAATGATCAGTGATGTTGAGCTTTTTTTCTTATGTTTTTGGCCTCATGTATGTCTTCTTCTGAGAAGTATCTGTTCATGAACTTTGTCCACTTTTTAATGAATTTTTTAATGTAAATTTGCTTAAGTGATTTGTAGATTCTGAATATTAGACCTTTGTCAGATGGATAGATTGCAAACATTTTCTCCCATTCCACAGGATGTTTGTTTGCTCTGATGATAGTTTCTTTTGCTATGCAAAATTTCCTCTCTTTAATTAGATCCCACTTGTCAAATTTTGCTTTTGTGGCAGTTGCTTTGGCAATTTCATCACAAAGTCTTTGCCCAATGTGTATGTCCTGAATAGTATTGCCTAGATTTACTTCCAGGGTTTTTATAGTTTTGGGTTTATACTTAAGTATTGAATCCATTTTGAGTTAATTTTTATGTAAGGTGTAAGGAAGGGGTCCAGTTTCAATTTTCTGTATATGTCTAGCCAGTACTCTCAACATCATTTATTAAATAGGAAATCCTTTCCCCATTGCCTGTTTTCGTCACATTTGTTGGAAAGCACATGGTTGTAGATGTGAGGTCTTCTTTCTGAGTTCTCTATTCTGTGTCATTGGTCTACATGCCTTTTTTTTTTTTAACCAATACCATGCTGTTTTGGGAAGTGTAGCCTTGTATATAGTTTTAAATTTGGTAGTCTGATGCCTCTAGTTTTGTTCTTTTTGCTTAGGATTCTCCCAGATATACAAGCTCTTTTTTTTTGGATCCATATGAATTTTAAAACAGTTTTTTTTTTTCTAATTCTGTGATAAGCTTCTCTTTTTAAATTAATGATTAAAAGTATAAGACATCACAGAGCCTTGGGTGCTGAGGGGAAAACAGTTTGAGACAGAGAAAGGAGATAATGTGGTATCTCTGAGTTTTTCTTGCAAATACCTATAATAACAGTGTTCTCTTTAATGAGTTAACACAGTTTTGAACATAGAGTAACTAGATTAAATAGTTCCAAGACTTCATTTCCATAAAGATAATGCCTTGAAATTAAGTCTTTGTTTTGTCTAAGATGTCTCAAATTTAGTGTAAGTATGCCCCAAGGGTAGTTTTCTTATTGAAATATCTTCTTCAAAAAAACTTCTGCCTATACTTAAAAAAAAGAAACACGGCTCTGTCTCTGGAATAGCCATTCTTTTATTTCTTTACTTCTCTGAGAAACTTGCTTTCACTTAGAAAGAAATTGCCTAATCAGATGGCTTTTCATTTACAAAAATGTAAATGTCATACTCCAGTCCACACATCTAACTTAGCATGATACAATGACTTTGGTTTGATGTAGTAGCCCAACATTGTTAGCATGAGTTGAGAAACAAGTTGTTTCAAAAACTAGCTGTTTAGTGGGCATTCTATAATAAACTTAACATTGTTTGTTCTGGTATTGAATGGATGTGATAGAAGTAATTTAGACACCACTATGATTCTAAATAGCAATGGTATTATGTGCTTCTGAAGGTTTAAAAAAATTTTTTTTTTGCAGTCCTATTTTGTTGTCCATTCATATTTGCTATTTTATAACTGGTTATTCCTTTCTACTCTTTTCTTATTTCATTTATTTTGATCAATGATATGCATTTTCAATTTGGTAAAAGTTTAATTCAGGTGTATGTGTAGTAAAATGTAACATCATATCCTTTACAAGAAGGAATTACCTTGCACATCCGATTGAACATTGTATACTTAAAAATCTAGGGAGATGTCAGGGAGCCAAGGATCAAATGACCTATTTTTACCAAGGCCATTTTCATGGCATCCTCATCCTCTCTGTCATATGGCTCCTTACAATTCTCTATGGTTTTCTTCCAATGTAAGTAGTTTTCATTAAGGATTCTTGCAATGAACTTTAGTATTCTTTTCTCTTTCACTTTAATAAAAACCAGGTATATTTTAATTTGAAAAACTCTATTTAAGGAATTATAATCAAGCAACTACCAGGGTGCCCAACACTGTTGTAAAACATAGAACCTGTAAAGCTACCCTGGGATACTGCCCATTCCCATCCCCCAGAAGGCAACTCCATCCTGAGTCTTGTGATTATTATTCCTTTGTATTTCTTTAAAGATTTGTGCAATAAATGTATATCTGTATCTACCTATCTATCTATATATACATCTATACATACATATGTATCTCCAAACCAACTATTAGTTTTGCTAGTTTTAAAGCTTCCTATATAGCAAATTCCTGCTGCATTTATTTTTTCATGATGCATGTTACATATAGGAGTTATCTGCGGTGTGGGAGGCTGTGTCATTCATTTATTTTTGCTGCTAAAGGTTTACATTTTATGGTTATACCA